TCGAGGCTGAAGTTTCTGCCAAGCTCGCAGCGACTGACGGGCGAGAAGCTCCTGGCAGAGGTTGGCCAGCTCAATTTTATTTTCTAAATTTTGGTAGGGAACACGTAGGGATGCTACGATGATAATTGACTGTCGTGGTTTCAGACACCTCCAAGCAGTTGCATTCAACTCCCAATTTCTGAGCAGCATGCCTCATGCTGCTGCGTGGGCATCAAAGCTTCTTTCATTTGATGTGCATGTGAAAGCTAAAAGCATTCAGCCCTTCCGCAGGCAGGGATCCGACCACCACCGCCTGCAACAGATCCTGCGGTGTGTGAAGAAGCAGGGGAGTGCGCGCCTTTCAAACTTCTGCAGTCTTTCTCTTACTAGTACTATTATTAGTGTTACTAGTATTATTATTGCTATTAGTACTTTTCTTATTACAGTTCCTATTTCCCTGAACCCTCATCCCTAAGCCCTAAACTCTATATATCCTCATATAACCCTACATATCCCCTATAGGCCCGCTTTAAATACGTGATCAAGCTGAAGTCGCAAGGTTGCGGTTGGGCAGTGTGCACTGTCAGCAGCGGATACCAGTCCGACCAGAACTTGTGCCCCAGGCAGGTGAGCATGTCTGTTGTAATAATGGCAATCAATAATAACGGCAATAATACTACTAGTTATCATAGAAATAATAGTAAAAATAATCAGAGAAATAGTAATAATAGTATTAATGGTAATCATAGTAACCATAGTAATAGCAGTAATCATAGTACTAGTAGTGATAGTAGCAATAATAGCACAAATAATAATGATTTTATTATCTTCATAATGGTAATACCTTAAGGGTCCAAGTACCCAATAATCATATACTTACCCCAAACCTGTCCTACTACCCAAAACCCAAGTACCTAATTATTGGGTACTTGGACCCTCTGGGATAGTGATACTAAGAGCGACCTAGAGGTCCACTTCATCAAGACTCCTGCGCACATGGCCTTGCTGCTGCAGCCTCGTCCACCTGCAGTCATGCAGATATTTTCCTGTGACTGGGTTGCTATTCAGGAACCTAGAAATGAGCTGCTATAACAAGAGCATATAGGGTTTAGGGTTTAGGCTGAAGAAGGAAATCCCATAGTTTACTATATGCCCAGATTATGGTAGCTTAATTTGAGTTCCTTAACAGCAACCCAAGTGACCTGGCTTCCAAGGCAGAACATGTTGTTGAGCTGGATTGCCGGACAGCCGTATGCTCAGCTACCCATAACAAGCAAGCGCAGGTGCCCCTGAAGAATTAATCTGCGTAAATTGGGTTGCTGCTAAGGAACTTAAACTTACCATAAGAATGGGTATATAGCAACTGATAGTCTTTCCTTAAAATAGTAACCCTAACCCCCTAAACCTTAAGGTATATGGTAAGTACTAAAAAGGTTTCCTTATGATAGTAACATAATTAAGCTTCCTGAGCAGCAACCAAGATTAAAGGCATCTCCTCCTGGTTGGCAACCAGGGAGCCGCTCGGCTAATTCTGGTAGTTGTTGTAATGGTAATAGGTGCGAATACTAAGATTAATAGGGTTTAGGGTTTTAGGGTTTAGTAGGAAAAACACTAGCAAGACAAATAGTAGCAGTAATAAAAAGAGTAATAAGGACAGTTGTACTGGTGTTATTGGAAGGTGACTTCTTCCGCAGATCTTCGCGGTCAAGTCCCAACCAGGGAGGAGGTTTCTAGATCGCTCCATATCCAAAAATTGTGCAGCCACTGTAGTCACGCTTTTGTTCATACTTGTCTATTTCATTTTTAGTCTTTCCTCCTTTTGATTCTTGATGATTGGGGTAGTACCCTAAATCCTATAGAATCCCTATGTACTTCGTATACAACACCCCTAAACCCTAAACCTTAAACCCTAGACCCTAAACATCCCTAAACCCTAAACGCCCAGGTAGGAAAGAACAAACTTGCAGACCAGCTGCTTGGCTTGCTCCACTGTGAGCGCGAGTACGCTGCAGCCTCAAGGTCCTTCAGGGTGGGGTTTAGGGTTTAGGGTTTTTACGGGTTTTAGGGTTTTTGGGGTTTAGGGTTTAAGGGTGCATGGGGATTATGTAGGGGTATGGAAGGATTATATAGGAGTTTTATGGAGTATGTAGGGGTTATATGGGCTGCAAGGGGTTATGTAGGCTTGAATGAGGGTGTAGGGTGTTTGGGTTTAGGGTTGAGGATAAGCTTGGCCAAGTGGCGTCTCAAGATGTGATGAGGCAATGGGTCGGCACATGCAAAAGAAACCCTAAACCCTAAACCCCTAAACCCTAAACCCAAAACCCCTAAACCCTAAACCCTAAACCCTACACCCCTGAACCCTGGCAAAAGAAGACTCCTAGCCAATGTAACTGATGCAGGAAAAGGAGAGAGATTTCAGCAGCTGCACGAGTATCAACAAGGTAGGCTGTGTTAAGGCTTGATCCCATTTCATGCTAGTCGCAGTAAGGGTATGTGAGAACCGACCACTTGTGCATCACAACCTGCATGCAATGCCAAAATTGCATACGCTCGTCAGCGGTAGAACTGAAATCTGACACTGTTGGCATGGACCTTTCAAAAACATGTGGAGCTTGCAGAAACAGAAAATGTGGTGAGTGGTGCGCCCATTTCGCTATGAAGATAGGGACGCAAGCATAAGGAGAGTTGGAACAGCTTCAAATTTGGACAAGACATCGTTCCATGAGGCATTTGTTTCTGTCTGTGTTGTAGTTGTGAGGAAGAATCCTTCCCTGCAATGATTGTTGAATACTGAACCCTCAACCCAACACCATTTTTAATACAACATCTCCTCATTCCTGCCTTGTCACGGAAGCTTACCTTGGAGACTTCACTGTTTCAGTGATCTTGTTCACATCTAACCCAGGTAGGCGCAAGGGATGTGATTTTTCTAATCTCATAATGACAATATAATAGTAACAGCAATCACAATAATACTGAAAATAATAGTAACAATTCTGGAAAGAATAGGTTCTTTCATGCCCAGCAATCCTGGCAGTCCTTGTCTTGGTCTAAGGTCCAGCTTCATCGGGACACCACCGTGCAGAGCCTGACTATGTCACCAACGCTCGAGGCATTGACTGGGGTGTAGGGTTGAGCTGGAGGGGGGCTAGGGATTGGACATGGGGGTCGGATGCGGTAAAATGAAATCTAGGGCCTCAAGCCTTAAATTTCATGTTCATCACTTCTTCATCCAGGATTTAATTTTCGGGTCCCTGTGGCTGTTTGCAGGATGTATTTCGTGTATGTTGTTGGCCCCGGTGGAAAGGTGAACCCAGCAACGCTTATGTCGGTAGACGATCAATTTGTGGGTACGCCGACAGGATTTATTTCGGTGGATGGTGGGACGCAGTTTTGACGACAAAGACGACAAAGTCTGAGCCGCCTGCTGTGATAGTGGGGAGGTGAGGGCTGGCAACGACAAAGATGACAAAGCCTGTGAGCCTCCCGCTGTGACAGTGGGAGGCGAGGGCGGGCGACGACACAGACGACAAAGCCTGAACCGCCCGCTGTGATAGTGGGAGGCGAGGGCGGGCGACGACACAGACGACAAAGCCTCAGCCGCCCGCTGTGATAGTGGGAGGCGAGGGCTGGCGACAACGCTTGCGGAGGCATACCAAGGTTGCAGGTTTGCGGCTGAGGCCCGAAGGATTTGATTTCAGGCCTCCGGTCCGCGTCAAAACTCCATGAACGTTCAAATTCGGTGTTTCCCGAGGCCTTGACCCCTTAGCCCTCACGCCACCAGGAATTTATTCGGATAAATTCCTCAGGGTACCCCCAACCCATATATGTCCAACCCTATATTGGATTCCTGCTTGTCATTCCTTGTGGCGGCATGGAAAGCGTGGAAGTGTGCTGGCTTGTCGGAGAGAGCGAGTGCTGCAAGCACGATGCCAGGCAGGTGTCATTGGGTGGAAGGATTCGGCGCTCCTCCGTGCAGCACGTGCTGGAAGGTGCCTAGTGGTGGCGAGCTGAGAATTTCCGGATGAATCCAACTTAAACTGCATTCTGTTTAGGGTTGATAGATAATCACATGGTGAGAACATGGAAGCTGGGATTATATAGGCGTTGTCTTAACGGAGGAACCATGTACCGTCAGATACAGCGCTGCCGCATACTGCCGCCATCCCACAAAGGTCGATGAAGCGGACAAGGCTCCATTGGAGGCCATGGTTCAGATTGCCTTTGAGCATGCGTTGTGCCTCTCACTGATGGGTATATGGCATATGTGAGGTTGTCTGCGTGCTGAAGGCGGGCGACCTTGTGCCGTTCAAGTTCTATGCAGCTTCATTGGAGAGCTGCATGCTAATCCAAGTAAGACCTCGTGCCAATTTCATTGCAGTCTTGACTCTTCAGCGCAAGGGCTCGAGTAACAGCTGCATGAGTCTGTTCAAAAGCTTCGCCAAAGAAGGGGGCAGTTTAGGGTTTAGAATTTAAGATTCACTGCCGTTGGAGACTATGGAGGCTCTAGCAGAGGATGGTGAGCCCAGTCCTTACCTGCCACGTGCGCTGGGTGATCTCTGAAAAGATGAACTACTAAATCAGAATATAACATGACATAACATAATACGATATAATAGAATATGATATATTGTAATATAGTGTAGTATAATATATTATAAAGATAAAATATCATATGATATAAGAAAAACCTAATATCATGTAATATAAGACAAACATAATATAATATAGCAAAATGTAATATAGTATAACGAAATATTATTTTTTTGCATCATGGAGGCTTGGCCCCGCAGCTGTCCGCTCTCAGCACAGCTCTCATAGCATGGCTCTCTAATGTTGAAGTGGAAAGAAGGAGCCCAGTTTACGCCTCCTGCATCAAGTTCATAACACGGAACATCCGGGATGTTAAGTGTGCGCAACATCTACCCTAAGCCTACTAAGATGTGGCAAGAACATGTGGCAAAAGTTGCTTGAGCAGCTTACCTGCTACCCTCCGCCAGTTACAAATAGTACACCTGGCCATGGTGCAACATTTGCAGGAGGAAAGTGTTCAGAACAGTGTTCTGAGACAGCGGAGGAATGTATCTACAACTGAAGAGGACTCAGAAGAGGAAAAGACTGGTACCGGAAGGGCATTATCCACAGACCACACCGAGGCTGAGGATGCTGAGGACTCAGATGATTCTGGGGAACATTTGTACAGATCTGACCACGACTCTGACTACGGCGACTTAGACACAGTCACTGGCCGTGTGCTACGCGGTGCTAATCAGAAGCATCAGCTCTCTCGCCGCGTGGAAAAGCTGGTGCTGGACTTCCGTCAGAAGCAGGAGCTGTTCAAGCGCCGCCGCCGCGACCTGGCGCAGAACCTGGCACAGAGCTACCTTGCCCGGGGAATTCGAAAGGAGTTCATGCAGCAACAGCAGCGCATCGTCTTCCGGAGCAAGCAGATGGCAAGGAAACTGCAAAGCGGGCGTTCTCGCGCTTGGCGGCATAAATGGGTGTTCGCCCTGGTCCAGATGGATTTCGCGGTGACAGCGTTTTGGTTAGGAGCATCCCCTCAGACCTTCTACCTCTACTACACTGCCCAAATGGCTGTGGTAATGTCCTCCAAGGCATGTGATTACAGATTCACTGCTCAGCATTACTTCCTGCTAGACTTTTGCTTCTTTGCCAATCTCTGCACAGTGTTGTGGCTGTGGGTCTTCCCTACGTCTGGCTACCTCTTCAATGCGATCGAGTCTTTCTGCGGTCTGCTTGCGATCTCCGTAGTTGCGTTCAGGAACTCCTGTGTGCCACATGACTTTGCTCGCATTTCCAACGCTTATGTGCACTATCCGCAGATCCTGCTGGTGCTGAGCTTGAAGTGGTGTGAAGGTAACAAGTGTGCAGGTATGTCGGAAGGACGTGCAGAAAGATGGTCTATCCGTTTTTGGCAAGCCTGGTCTGTCTACATGATCTGGGCTGTCGTCTATTCATCTGTTATCTTCGGCTTCGCACGCAAGCGTATCGAACGAAAGCAGAGAGACACTTTATATGGATATTTTGCAGATAAGCTGGGCTTCAAAGACAAGCTTCCAAACTTGCTGAGGCCGCACTCCGGCATGGTCTTCATGCTTGGGCATCAAGCTCTTTTCCTTGCGGGCGTAGGTTTCCTGTGGATTCCTTTTCCAGTGCAAGTTCTTGCGGCCCTCCTGGCTATTGTCACCTTTTTCCACAATGGAGGTCGCTTTTACGTAGACCACTTCTGGAAGGCCCATGAGCGAAATACTGTTCTCTACGTGGACGCAGCCAGCAGTATGATGTCAAGCACTGCCAATGAAATACCAACTAGCTGCAGTAGCCTTGACAGCAAAGAGGCACCTGAAAGCCCTGCAAGGGCAGGGTCAAAGACCTTAGAATCCAAACAGAAAGCATCAGTCTCGTGAGTCCTCTTCTGGCAGCTGAGGAGCAGCCGAGAAGTTGTTTCGACATCTTGAGCACAGCACAGCGCGAACCAAAGCTTCAAAAAAGACCGGGCTGCTGGCTATTGTTGGGTTGCTGTGAAGGAAGTTACATCAAGTACTGTAACCCGGAAACCCTGCTATGTATGTTATACCCATATTGTGGTAACCTAATCTAAACCCTATATAACCCATTATAGTAGTTTCAGTTTTCTTTTCCATTATCCCTATATCAACCCGATATACCCCTGTATAACCACCATATAACCACCATATGAACCCAATATAAACCCCTATATAAACCCTATATAAATCCCTATATAACCCTCCTATATAAACCGTATATAAACCCTATGCATCCTTCTTTGCCGGCTTTGGAGTTCAGAGAGTTGCTGGTTAGAATCGAGGCTTTCGCTGCCGGATGGTCGCGCCTTGGTGCGTGCTCCTCGCAGAGTGTCATACATATATGAGCCATAGTTTAGGGTTTAGAGTTTGGGTTTAGGGCTTTAGGGTTTAGGGTTTCAAGGGGGGTTATATAGGGGATTATATAGGGGATTACTATAGGGGATATTGAGGGGGATACTAGGAGTTTAGACTATAGCTCATATGGGGGATTCCCAAAGATTAGGGGTACCAAGTAAAACATAATTAAGGGCCCCTTTAAGGGAGATATGAGGTTTATAGGGTTTAGGGTTTCCCAGAAATTAGGTGTATTTTTTTGGTGGTCCCCATAACAAGGACTCTAGTATTTGGGGGTCTATATTGGGGTCCCCTTATTTTGGGAAACTACCATATAACCCCTGTAGAACCCCCGTATCATCCCTACAACATCCTCTTATAATCCCTAAAGAACTCATCTAGAATCCTTATAACATCCTTGTACAAAACCTGAAGCACCACTATATGAGCCCCAAATATCCCTACATCAGCCCACATATATATATATATCTATGATACCCAAAGATGCCAATGTGGGTATTTCTCAATATAACCCCTACATAATCCCTCAAGTGGGCCCTAAATAATCCCCTTATAATCCCTCTATACCCTTTGGGGTCCCTAGGGCCCCCCCTTTTTGAGAAACTCCCATGTAACCCCTACTTTTCGAGAGTCCAAGCCAGGCTCCAGTGACTCGAGGCTTGGTCTGTCTGACAGTGAGCCTGGGCCCCAAAGGGTGAAGAGAAGAGGCTACATAGGGCTTATAAGGGTTTAGGGTTTAGGGTTTAGGGTAACTTCTACAGGGGATATATGGGGATATGTAGGGGTTACAATGCAGGGGATTTATAGGGGTTATGTAGGGATTATATAGGGCACATATCGGGAATATATGGGATTATGGGAATATGCAGGGTTTGGGGTTTGGGGTAGAGGGTTTAAGGTTTAGGGACGTTATAGGGTTATATAGTGATTTCTTTAATCTAGGGCTTATACATGGAAATATGGGGTTATATACAAGGAGATACGGGGGGTTATATGTAGGGGTTAAGGAAAGGCGAATCAAGTGGAGAAGAACATTGAGAATATGGCAGTTTCCCTAAATAAGGGGACCCCTATATAGACACCAATATATTATCATCCTTATTATGGGGACCCCCAATATGGTATCCCTAATTTTAGGAAACCCCCATATATTATATTATGAGAATGAAATGGAAACCGTTTTGGAGTCTCATCGCTTGTTTTGACACCTTGTGCACTGCACGGTGCTCTCAGGTTTGTTCCAATTGCTGATGGATTCCGGATGATAGTTCTGGCCAATAGGCAAGATGCATGTACAGCGGCTGCCTGTGGGACCTGGTGCTACTGTGACTGGGTTGCTAATGTACCATGATAAGGAATCCAGATTATTTACTATATGCACATTATGGTAGCCGAAAGTCAGTTCCTTAACAGCAACCCACTTACACGACGAGTCTGCACGGACAGGCCCGGCTTTCCTTTCCTTGGAAATGACTTCTACCGCGTCTGTGGAGACGTCTTTGGCACCATCCTCATCTTCCACAAAGGGCATGCATCTGCGTTCGTTTCTGTGAAAGTTACATGGTAGTATAACAATAATAGTAATACTATCAATAATAATCAGGATAACATAGTTATTGTAGGATAATATATTATATTATGATACCCAGCGCATCATCTGTCGCATCTGTGCCGAGACTGCCATGCTGTCGAGTGCCTGGACACGGAAAGCGAGCTTGAGCTGCTCCGGCAAACTGCGCCACTTGTGTCGCAGGCGTGGAAAGCAAATGGTAGGGATAATGGACAAGAACATGGAAACTTCTGGGCTTAGGATTTATAGGCTCGTGTTTGTACAGGGAGAATAAATGGAAATTACTGCATTGTAATCTGGTATGCGAGTGTGCTTGGCACTGAGACAACTTGGTTGCCAAAGATAGAAACCAACGTGCAGGAAAAGCTTGTAGCTTTGTCGGACCTCTTCATGGACTTGCGCAAGCTTTCGGACTCCGGGCAGCTGGCATATCCGTGCGCGTGAAATCCAGCGTGCTGACATGGAAGTGTAAGCTGCTGAATGGACACTACCATAATATATTGGGGTTATATAGGGATAATGGAAAAGAAAATGGAAGCTACTATTTAGGGTTTAGGGTACATAGGTCTTGCTGAACCCTAGAACCTAAAGCTCCAGGTACTCCACTCGTGATCTGGTCAAACTTGCAGCCCACGCACAGAACTTTCCAGGCACCTTCGGCATGTGCGCACTTGTAACAAGTTTGCATTCATAAGCTGACTTTCCATATGAGTTATAGTCTACACTCCTAAAAGAGGCTATATAGGGCTATATAGGGGGTTATACAGGGGAGTAGTAGAGGGGTTATCGAGGGGAATGCTAGGAGTTTAGACTAAAGCTCATGCATGTGGAGCCCCTGATTTAGACCTCAAACTACCAGCATCTTCATTTTTTGGACTCCGTGAAAGCTCCTTTAATTTCTGTAAAGCTGAGGTGATTCTCGAGAGGAGCTGGCGGCAAACGTCTTCAGCTTCGACGCGTTTCAGGCCGACCAGCGCGAACGATTGCTCAAGGCCCTCACTGCTACAGCTGGTACATTTGCGGGATGTGGCAGTTTCTCAACATAGCCCTTTCCTGGTAGACTCAAACAGACTTGGAGAAATCCAGGTATTGCGCCGCCATGGCTTTGCCAAGGGAAAGGCTGGCGAGGCCACTTTTCTGCGACCTGCGCAGAGCGGTGCTACATAGTGCAACTTGTGCGTGCAGGCAGCATTATTTGGAGAATGCCGTGGAAGCAAGCAAATCCAGCTGGCAAGTTCTGACCATTCAGTGACTTGACGCACATAGTAACACATGTAGCTTGTGCAAGTTTTTTTTTTGCATTGTCACGAAATGTGGCTCCAAGCCTCCTGTCCAAATTTTATTGCCATCTTAAGTTATTCAGGGCGAATTCAGTTTTCATGATGGAGGTGCAACCGGACTTCCAGTCATAGGCTTGTTCTGTACTCCACAAATGCCATTGGATTCTGTTGGTGAATTATTGAAATGCAGATTATCAACATTCGTCTGGAGCCTTTCATGATATCTCAAGCTCTTTGTCGCATTTGCTGTTTTTTTCCCTGACTCAGCTAACGTTACGGGATTTTCCGACTATGGAGGTCTCCCTCGCATGACCCACAAATCCATGATGTTTGCCGGAAAGGATCTAATGTAATCATGATGGTAATTTTTTAGTCATTTACGATTTCCTGTTTCATGATAGGAGATATATTCCATTCGAGTCCCTAGGTTGGAATATCCGTTTTTTGTAGTTTGACCTTTCCGTATGTAGATATATGAGATAGAACTTTTCAATACAACACAGACGAAAAAGGTTTCTGATAAGTGTGAAATCTGGGTATCATGAGACATCAGAATATTAGTTATAAGTAACCGTTGGGTCAACTGCTGAAACCGTCAGACCCAGAATGCCTTCAATGGTGCTGTCCAAAGTCTGATGGCGCTTGTTTTACACATAAACCCTGACAAGGAAGTCCAGGCTGTGATATAGGTAGTTCCCCATTTTGGTACCCCTAAATATTCGGTGCTGCTATATAATCTATACCCAAAAGGGGCCATAATTTTGAGAACAATCCATATGTTGCATGTAGAGCAAAGCTCAGCAGATTTGTTGGATCGTACTGTGTGATGCTATGACCTGTGGACACTACCTGATGCCTTGAAAAAAGCTCGCCTGGCCATCCTGATTAGTGGGTTTCTGAGGAGCACTATGTTAGCGGAGGGAAAAATGCAGCCATCCCAGTCTTCCTGCACGCTTGAACTTCAAGCTTCTTTGCTGGCACATAGGCAACTGTTACAATGGAAGGCGGAAGCCGATACTGCGACTCTGTTCAGTCAGCATCCTGAGGGGGACTTAAACACGAAAAGGCACACTTTTTGCGTTTACAGGGGGGCTTGCATTTCAATCGCAAGAAGAGGTCCTTGCTTTCCAGCTTTCCACTTGTGTTTCACGCCTCTCGAAATGCGTACCTCATGCCGCGGAGGTAGTGGAAGGGTGTTTGAGAACGCTGCACCACCAAAGCCTTGCCTTACAACCCTCACCGCTCGGATTAGCTGCTAGTGTCTAAGCTTTGAACACGTTTGTGACAACTGAGTAAGGAAGGAATTGCCTGTGCTCACAAATCGTGGATTTGCCTTACTCGTGCCTTCCGCAACCATTGCGCATGGCTTGCAAGCCTGTTTCAGCTGCGTTCGCTTGACGAAGGACCTTCCCGAATGCTTGTTTTGGACGGGCTCGAATTGCTAGCGTTCAGACGCGGAAGCATTATTTTGGATGAGAGTTGGGGGTGGGTTTCCTAACGTTGGCCAGTGCGTTTACATGGTGTTTGCACTTTCTGGCTGGGACTTCTTGGCCGTCGCCCTAATCGCGGTGTTCCTTGGTGTTTAACAGTGTCTGGATGAATCGGTTCAGCCTTCTGCCCCTGCTTGTACTGGTTTTGCCTTCGAGCATTGGAGCCTGAAGTTAAAACCAAAACCCTGCACCTAATGTTCAAGCCGTTCAGGGTTTCGGGGTTTAGGGGCTTAATTAAGGCTTGCAGTTCCATCCTCATTCCCTCGTACCTGTAACGTAACTCATAATCTTCCCCAAAGCTCAGGGACATTAAATCCTGGTAGACCTGTAGTTTAGGGTTTAGGGTTTAGGGTTTAGGGTTTAGGGACTATTTCATTTTTAATTTCATGTTTCGTTCATGTAGCATTTGATTCTGAATTATTTTAAAACCTGAACCTTTCATATTCGCATACTATTACTAAGACCGCTGTTAGTGCCTGTGTAGCCTTTAGAGGAATCCTGCAACTTTCGACGCAAAGCTCGAACAAATGCAATAGCTCTTTTCCCGACACAACCCCTACACTCTATCCTCTATATCCCTGTATAATACCCCCTTAATTACCCCCATAAAGGAATCCTTATATTAAAGGCATAGATCCCCTTAAGATGCGCTTACACGTATGACGTTGTTTCCCGCAGGAGTGCTTGTTCCACAAGCGACATCTCCAAGGCGCGTTGCTTTTGCCACTGCTGCTGTGTAACTGTTTTTCCGCTTGCTTGAAGCCCAGGCTGTAGCTTTCAGTATTGAAGGTTAGATGGGCAGCCCAGAGCTTTGCGCTTTGTTGCCATCAGATCCACACTGCAGCTAGTGTAAAGGTATACGTATATGATCACGTGTATATTTCGCATATGGTTTATTGCCATACTACTACTACTACGACGACGACGACTACTACTACTACTGCTACTATTACTACTACTACTACTACTACCGACAACAACAACAACAATTACTACTACTACTACTACTATTACTACTACGACTACTATTACTGTTACTATTACTGTTACTATTACTATTACTATTTTTTTACTATTACTACTACTACTGCTACTGCTACTATTACTACTACTACTACTACTACTACGACGACGATTACGATTATTATGACTACGACTACGACTACGACGACTACGACTACGACGACTACGACTACGACGACTACTACTTCCGCTACTACTGAGTCACGTTCTGGCTCGTGACGGTGCGTTTTCGTGACATCGCAGGGCAAAAAGCGACGTGATTTACAACACTTTTGCATTTCACATTGGCGCAGTTGCTCTTCCTACTTTTCGGGGCGATTTCTGGGAGGCGTGTTTGAGAAAGCATAACATGAAATTTGTGCGTCCCCAGACAGGGCCACCTAGTGTCAACAAACAAGGTGAACTGCATATTCCAATGCTAAGCCTGTGCGGCCATAGCAGCACGTTTTGTGCTATCATTTGATAATTTAGCTTCGCTCTGACGAAAGAGAATGCCTAACCGCGATGCCAGCACGCATTTCCCTAGGCAACCCCAATGTTGACCCACGATTTTCACAGCGCGCGCCTGAAGCGCCACTGTCTAATCATAGATTTGGTTGCAGGTGTATGTGGGACCTTGCATAGACACAAAGTTGTGGTCATCGACACATTGTGCCATGCTGCAGGGGTCTATGCAAAACATTCTCCAACCCCAAACCATCTTCAACCTTTGGCTGCCCGTTGTGGCCGTCCAAAAGTGCAGATGATGTCATGATTCTGGAAGCCATGATTATATGCATTATGCAGATCGTGTGTGTGTGTGTGAGACTAAGTCAGCACTTCTGATATAGGTGTATGTGTTCGTGTTTCTCATTTTGAAGAATTCGCAACAGTCTACTTTACTGTGGTTTGTAGTCAGGTTATGGTACGGAATTTGATAGCAGCTGGCATTTCCCATGGTCATCTAGACACTTCATGCGCCGAACCCTCTCTCTGTTTGCTGTGTAAAAAAGCAAGTACACTCAATTGAGGCCATCGGCCATGCCCGAAGCGTGCAGCACCAAGACTTGATGGGTCCGGCGATGGGTTTTGGTATGAGGCATGGAGGTTTTACAGGCAGGCTCGGCAGACTTCAGGCTTCAGCCTTCAGGCACGTTGGGATTGCCATGTTTTCAGTTGGTGAAAGTTGTTTCAGACACAAACAGTCCCTACTTCTTGGGAGCTACCAGAATGTTGATTTGATGACTTGGTGCCATTACTTTAGAAGGTCGCTCCGTTGGAAGCATCAACGAGTACCGCGTGAATGAGCCTTCAATCCCACAGCGACACAGTCACACAAGTGGCGGCCATGCAGTGCCCTGATCCATCAAATTCCGCTGACCTTACCACGCCTGGACCTACTTACTCTAGTCCGCATGGCTGCCAACCAAGTCTCTTGTTGGGAAGCCCCACCACCACCGCGGCTGAGGGCACGCGCTCTAGCACTCTACCTGGAACACGAGGCTTGGAGGGTGTGGCTTCGTCATGGTAGGGCTCCATGAGCTTTGAGCAGGCTTTCAAAGAGCGAAGATATTGGATATTGTTAGCGTGTTTTTGGGATTCAGTTCTAGGGTTTTGACCATGGGTGTGGCATGGTGTGGCCTGGAGCAATTGGTTTTCTGCCCTGAGGGGTTTGATTTATTGGGATCCCTTAGGAGAGGCCCTTTTCATGAATTAGTGCTTAGGCAATCCTTTGACTCACAAGGTTTGGGCTCGTGATCTGAGAGTCTCATGGCTAATTTCAACTCGTGGTCAACCCTGCGCAGCGAGGCGAGCAGTCAATGCACCGTTTCAGTCATTGACCTCTTCCAAACTCCAATCCCCTTTCCGATAGCTAGACTTTCAAGTGCTGAGCTAGCCTGCTTTGAGCACAGTGGTGAGAAGTCTTGGGGAATAGCAAAAGCGGCAATTTCCTTTAGGTTTGTCAATTGCATGCCTGCATGCCGTTCTTACAGGTCGAAGCTGCAAAGGTCGGGGTCTCAACTGGCAGCTCGACGGGGAGCTGTGCGGTTTTTTCTGCTAGATTTGGATGGTTTACTTGCCCACATTTTCTGCTAAATTGGGATGGTTTACTTTTGAGAACTACGCTTTAATTTTGCAAAATCCTTTGGTAAGGATCTCCAGGCTGCATGCAATGAGCCTCCGTTTGCAGGAATTCAGCCCAAACAGTTGGCCAAGTCGGGTTGGTTCACCACAGCTAACCTTCCCTACTTGTTGGTCGCGCATTACCCAAAGGTTTTCAGGACACCGAACCCTAAGTTCCCGCGCTGTGTAATGAGGTCCACTTGGGTCTTTAGGGAAGGGAAGTGGTGAAAGATTGAGGACAACGTTGACATTCGTGGTCTTAAGATAAAGGCAGGTAAGTTTGAAGAGAGGACGATCATGTCGGTTACCATGTTTGCCAGGCCTGATGACGACCCCGAATTGGTCCCCGATAGTGATTTGG